AATTATACTGTATTTTTCTTATGTCATTCTAGGACAGGCTCCTCTACGAGGTGGAATTGCAAAGTTCTAGTACTGTTATTGCTGAAACTGCCTCCATGAAAGACGATGAGGGGAGGCCAAGGTTAAACTTCCAAAAGCCTATTGCATCAGTCTGCCACATGACACTGTGCTGTGAACATGCACTGTTTTTATACGAGTGATTTTTCAACTTCATGCTTCATTTTGTCTGTCATGGACAAAAAAATTAAGCAACATGTCTGCATCAAGTTTTGCAAGAAGCTCGGTAAATCCACTATCAAAACCCCTGAAATGCTTTGTGAGGCTTTTGGAGAACATTCTTTAAACCAGACCGGTTTTTGAATGGCATTCATGATCCAAGGATAGTTGATTGTCAGTTGAAGATGACAAACATTCAGGGCAACCAAGCACCAGAAAAATGGTAGAAAAAATTGAAAAAAATTCGAGAACTCATCCATGAGGACCCTCGCCGAACAATCCAGCTTGCAGGCATTGTTGGGATAAGTTACGGAGCTTGCCAGGAAAGCTTAACGGAAAATTTTAACATGCACTGCATTGTTCCTTCATTAAACAATGCGCCCTTCCACATGTCCCTGAAAACAACAGTCTGTGACTAACAACATGGTTATCATTCCCCATCCTTCCTGCTGGCCGGACTTAGACCCCTGTGATTTTGCTGTTTCCCAAATTGAAAATGAAACTGAAGGGACGTTTTGAAACAGTTGTCTGCTGCCATCCAAATGGAATCACAAGCAGTATTCAACAGTATTAAGGAAAATGGCTTCCACGCTGCTGTTGAAGCACGGATGTGGGGGGGGGGGAAAGATGGGATCACTGTATAAATTCCCAAGGAGACTAATTTGAAGGACAAGGCAGCCAAAACTGAGTAAGGCAGCATTTCTTTTTGTCAAAGTCCCGGAACTTTCCAATAGAACCTCATATATGATGAAATGTGTGCAAGAAAAAGCCAAGACAGTATGAATGTGGTTCAAGGTTGACCTGGAATTCTTTTTTCTTTTTTAACAAAAATACTTTACATGCCAGAAAACTCCTTTTCAAGATATTCTCCCTTTAGAGTAACACATTTTTTCCAACAACATAGCACAATTTACCAGCAGCTTAGAAGGTTTTATCCAGACTGTGTAGTCACTCCAGGACACCGCATTTGAGTAGCTCATCAGTCTGAAATTTGTCCTCCTACATGCACCTTCACTGACCCAAACAAATGAAAATCACTGAAGGCTATGTCAGTGTTGTAAAGGCAGTGGTTCAAGTTCCCAGCCCACTGTTGCCTTCATCAAATTTGTCAAATGTGGCTGAGCACTGTCATGCAGCAGAATGTTCATCTCAGACATCATCCTAGGTCTCTTTTTCCAAATCTCTTGGTGCACAGCATTGCAAAGCAATTTACTGTCATACATAATACTATAAGTCAGTACTTCTCAACCCCAAAAGACACTTTCCATGATCCCGGCAGCTGACAGGTTTGTCTTGAATTTGCTGCATGGTGGAGATCCCTTGTGACACCATTGCATATTGGAACACTTTGGAGATAGCAGGTTCCTACAAAATGTTGGTCCCTATCTATCTAACTATATTGTATCAGATCCCAAAGGACCATGATCTAAATTTTTCATACTGTGTATAAGTTCTGCACTTTATTTGCAACTCTTAAAGAGGTACAGTCAATACTGCATTCATGACTTTATATTATTTCAAGTTCAGTGAAACCTTAACATATACAAAATTATTATGTCACATTCTATACACACTATACACACCTCAAGAGTATAGAATTTCAACCACTGCTTCCATAGGCCAGGGCAACAACAGGTATAGTACTTCAAAACAGTTAATGACTACTACACCCTTCAATTCAGGAATCAGTCATTCCTCCATTCAATGATGGACAATTTATGCAGCTGACAAACCACTGTTAAATAAATAAACTAACACACAAAGAAACAACAGTACTGCATTCATAAATAAATCATTTGGGACACACTCATTATCCTGATTTTACGACTGGGGAACAGAAGAAAAAAATTATGCAAGAAAGATTTCATGTAATGTGAAGACACTAGAAATGGAAGACTGATATAATTTTATAAACCAATAGCATGAGATAACCGTAAAAAGAGAAATAACACAATATTACATGCTGTCTTAGCACAGTATCTAGATTAATACTTGGAAATCAAACACTTCAGCACAAAATGAATGCATGTTCACTTTTAAGAATAAACAACCCAATGTAAATTACACACAAAACTATGCCCAATCCTCAAACGGTATTCATGTACAGGTTTCCGATATAGGTTTGAACGGAGGATAACCAACAGAGATGAACTGCTTCCTTGGGAATGTAACATACTATCACAGCAGTAGTCTTTGATCACCGATGTCCAGAACAAGTATTCTGGAGTTATCAGGTAACACAATACAAAACATCCACAGCTTGGATGCCATACTGTGTGTGGAGACAGTGATCATACAAAACATCCAGTCTGGATACCAGACTATGCGTGGAGATGGCGAACATACATTGCATGATGATGATGTCATAACCAAGCAGAAGAACAAGCAGCTGAGTGGTCAATACAGAAAATAAAGACCATTCAAATTCAAAATTGAACCAATTAGAGAAAGAGGAGGGGGCGATTTTTACAAACAGAACTACATTAACATTTGGCAGCATCATAAACACTTGGGAGTGAGGACATATTAACTCATTTTTCATGAAACACTCTGGTGTAGGTCTTTGAAATGAACATAGATATATAAAACTTTGGTGCAGGTCTTCTTAAGGGGAAAGATGTGAACACTTCATTTAGTAAACACTCTGGTGCAAGTTGAAGTGAACGGACATAAACATATTTGTATCTGTAAAGATTATAATTAACAAATTAAACTGTGAAGTGATAGTGATACTCAAGTGTTACTTGGGAAAACCAGAAGGAAGGTAACCACTAGGAAGACCAAGATGTAGGTGAGTGGGCAATATTAAAATGGATCTTTGAGAGATAGGACGGGATGGTATGGACTGGATTGATCTGGCTCAGGATAGAGACCCATGGAGAGCCCTTGTGAACATGGTAATAAACCTTTGGGTTCCATAAATTGCTGGGAAGTTCTTGATTAGCTGCACAATTGGCGGCTTCTCAAGAAGGGCTCAGCTACACGAGTGATGAGTGAGGTATTTTAACCCCTCAAGCTGGTATCCCTAGGACATTCTTGCAAACCTGTCAGATATACCATCAGAAGCGGCCCAAGTATGTCCTCGACTGTAAGCTCAGAGAAAAATCGTCATTGCTCTGCCACCTCTTGACAGGGAATCAAACTAAGTTAAGCATTATACCTCCACATATCATAGTTTTCAATACCATATTTGTTCCTTCCACAAAACTGCTCAATGGCTTGAATACTGTACTGCCCAGTACATCACATGGCCCAGAAACGAGTGACATATTCCATTTCATGAAAGTTTAGACCATTTGTAATTCCTTCTGAACATTTCATAAAATTCACTCCAACAATTTGTAAAATATTGTGACGTGGACAGCACAACGCTCGGTAAAGACCCTCCCCCTTCCAGCAGTGAGGTCGGAGCAACTGCCACTGCTATGGTAACAGGCCAGTCAACACTCTGTTCCCCTCCACCGCGGTGATGTAACAGCACTTCCCATAGTGACATAACAAGTGACACCGCTGTTAACGTGAGGCAAAAGGGAACGGTATAAAAAGCCAGCTGAGCAGTATGTGTGATCAGGAGTGACACAGTGTGGATCGTGAAGTTGCCGACCCAGTTGCAGTCTAGCCACCGCCAGAGACAGTTGAATGGATTCACCGAGATGTAGTTGAACAGTAATTCAGATAGTGGACTGTATAACTGAATTGTATAAGTGTGGAGCGAATGTGGAATAAATTCACTATATTCAATACAGTGTAACGTTATTTGTCACGTGACATATACCCAACATGTGACAATATATAACAGTGAAAAATGCTGTGACATATGTCTAGTACATTGTCATTTAAATACTGCAGTATAGAAGTAGTATGGTCTAAATGCTACGTTGAGGGCTCAATAGAACTCTTATAATGGGAATTGGCAGAGCACTCATATTGTGGTCTTCTGGTGTACAGCATATAGTCTGGTTGGTGGGTACCAATGATTTGGAGCAACATACTGGATATATAAGTTGACAATATGAATCTTCACTGTCATGAAAACCTCAAATTTTGTAACTGGTATAGCAGCACATATGCAACAAGCAATAACATTACAAACTGAATACAGTCAAAATTAAAATTGTGAACTGAAATGTGACATCACAATCTGGAGAGTCTAGCAGCAAAAACTATCAGTGAAATGTCTCACCAGAATGACAAGGAAAGGCAGTTTTCTGCTTCAGTGACTTCACTAGACAGCTGAAATATAGGAAACTAACTTTTCTGTCAAGCTTGATTTGAAAGTTCGTCAGTTGGTAAGAAATGACAAAAACCATCCCAAAGTATTATCTCAGTACAAACACAATGGAAAAGGAAATTATAAACAGCCAAAGGTGCTCCACATTTCTGAACATCATGTTTGTTAGGAATGCAGGTTTATATAAATCAGACATGTCCAATGCGTCATTCACAGGACGATTTTTGGTCGATCTGATAGGCCTATAAGGAAATTATACGTGAAAAGCACGTAAATTAACTTGTAATATAAAATGAAATACGTGTTAAAGTAGTCTGTACTTCCAATGTATGTTGCTTTTACAACAAACATCATGTGTCATATTATTTTTACCAACATTTTTGCTTAAAGCGAGGTACGACAATAAGAGGGGGTGGTAGACACTAAAAAGTCGATCACAACCTGTTTGAAGTTGGACGTGCCTGCTATAAATAAAAGGGATGTGCTCCACAAGATCACAGAAAATATTACACACGCTGCATATGAGAACCAAAAATTGTAAGTCTGATGGATATGAAGTTAAGTTAGCTTAAAAATATGTTTTATTGCTGCGAAGTGGTTAGCTGGTGCAGGTTGGTAGTACCGAGGTGTGAATGCATTAACCAGTAAATCAGAATAACCTGAAGGGGAGTTGTAAGATACAGAACACTATGAACAAATGATGTCTCTTCACAATCGTCAGCTGTCAATGTTATAACCAATCATATCTGCAATGTCACTCAGACCTGAGAAGCACAAATATTATTCATTTCTGCATGAATGAAATTAAATTAAAACTGTATCCAAGACAGAACTCCCCTTGCTGCTGGTTACTGTTTGTTCAATCTTTGCTTTAACATTTGAAAAAAGAGGGACTTCAACTCAGGAACCTTTTGCAGGTGGCAATGCTGGAGGATGAAGTTCCACATGGTGAAAGTACTCGTGACTCAGTGCTTCAAATGCTGACAATCGCCTGTTGGGGTCATATGTCAGGAGTTTCTGAAACAATCAGAATCTTGAAAGAGATCTGCAAGTACACAGCAAATTAAGATAACAGTATCAAGTACAATTACTGTGTTAACATATGGAACTCCAGAATACACCTACCATCCTATCCCTTAGGTACCACCCCCCACCCACGTCTCACTACTTTTTATAGTAATTTTCTCCTTACATTGTTTTATTTAATTTTTAAATATAATATGCAATTTTTAATTTTTAAATTTATACTACCATTCTACTTTTATATGAACTTTATCATCCTTATACCTCTCATGTGTAACATCTGATGATGGCCGTCTGGGCTAAAACAGGTTGCCAGTGGAATAATAAAAGAATTTGTTACAATAACCCCTCAATTTTTATTTCTAAACATCACAAACAGGATACAACACTACCAGCATTAGCTTCCAACATTTATGCACTACTGTTGCTCCTCCTCAACAGTGACTGGTGATTTCTTCACTTTTTGTGGTGATTCAGTTTTCTGATAGGGCATCATGTACATGTGGTCCGTACTGCCATTGTTTTAGAGTTCTTACAATATCCATCTTCCAGGTAAAGTGACCACAATATGATCTTTGCTGACCCTTACAATACATCTTCACCACATAAGCACAGCATATCAGCCAACAGAGAGAATAAGAAGATACACACAAAAAGAGCTTGAATCTATTTTTGAGAGCCAAAGCAGTGAAGTGTCTAGGAAACCCGATTAAAAGGTGTGGATCAGCNTGTACTGCCAATGTTTTAGAGTTCTTACAATATCCATCTTCTAGGTAAAGTGACCACAATATGACCTTTGCTGACCCTTACAATACATCTTCACCACATAAGCACAGCATATCAGCCAACAGAGAGAATAAGAAGATACACACAAAAAGAGCTTGAATCTATTTTTGAGAGCCAAAGCAGTGAAGTGTCTAGGAAACCCGATTAAAAGGTGTGGATCAGCGGGGAAAGAAGAAATATGGGAAGCAAAAAGAAGGAAAATCAGTAAGAGGGAATTAGCCCAGAAAAGAAGACAGGAGTATATACTATTAAATGAGAAAGGTCATATTTCATTCAAATGCATTAATTGCAATTTATTTTTCCATTATCATTGAAAAAAGAAGGAAAAATACTAATTTAGAAAAAAAAAAACATTTTCAGTGGCAGTATCCAGTAAACTAACAGAACTGAACACATCTGACTACAAAGTAAATCATCTCAGCGGCATCTGAAGGAAAAATGTGTGCATTATATTCAGGCCAACACAATACTCTGTATGTGGTCCTAGTACCATTCTTCCACAAGAAGTTCTTATAATCATTTTACTGGTATTACCAACATGCCTCAAGTGTCTTGAAAGTTTGAAACTTAGGAACTTTTTACTGGAGAATGGACACACATACCATGCATAATGAAAGCACTGAGACGACCTGAAATTGGCACAGAAATAGGGTTCTGTGGGAAGGCACATGCCATAGTGAACCTGTCACTTGCCACATTTCCAAATTTTGCAGCCATTTATGACATACTGCATGTCTTATTGGTTGTAGTGAGAAATGGGATTCACACTGTGATGACTGCTACTAACTTCAGTGTTAGGGACCTAAAAATAGTGTCGTTATAAACGAATGTCGTTGTAACCGAAATGGGCACTTACATAGTAGCCTTATGCTAGTCNTGAAAGATGGCTCATTCCAAAATTAATGATTAAAATGACATGATTTGAGCCATTAGAATTTCTTACCTCCTCATCCACTTCATGAATAATCAATCTTCTGTCACCCTAAACTACATACTTTGATACCACATCACTGTTATCACTGTTCATATTGACTGACTCGTGTCCAGGACAGTCAGCACTTCTGACAGCCATTTGTCCCATTTCAAATGACAACCACCAAAAAAAGCCTACGCTTCGTTCAATGTGGTACCTTCCATTCATCACTGGCATCTACTTTTAATTCTGTACTGTAGCATTCTGTTGTGCTGTGGTTCAATTACAACTGTATTCAACATGATTTTTATGCAGCTCTCACTCATCAGCTGAGCCATGTCTTGACTGGCCCAGTGAACTGCTTTTTTTTGAAACAGCTCACAGATACCTTCCAGCACACCCCATCCTCTTCCTATCAGCTGTTTTCCTTTGCTTGCTGGTGTACTGCAGAGTAATCACTGGACACTCAAGAACTGGACATAGCGCCAAGAGCTACTCTGGCCATGGCTAGGCCTCTTGAGGCAGCTAAAAGGACACTTTGTTTTTTGGAATCTGTGAGGAGAGTATGTCATTTTCTAAACTGTGTTGGACCTATATTTCTAAATTCTTATCCTGACCATTTTCTTTCATTTTATTCACCTCTGGTAGATTCCCCAGTTTGTGTACATATTTTTGTCTAATCCTACTTCTCACACTGACTGCCATGCCCAAATTTTATGATTTGCATTGCACTATTCCACTAAATTGCTTCTGTTGTTATTTTTTTGTTAATTACATGACAATCGTGTCTTATTTCGACAGCAGCACTATCTCTGTTATTGCTTTCTCTTAATGATTCAAAGCAGCAGACAAGTGCGCCCAAAAGATGACGGTCTCTTGTCCCATCTCATCTATCATCTCCTGGACTTATTCAAATTCCAAGCATAAGGATAAAAAGGCAAGATTTAAGTCCATGATTTATTTAAACCGTCTTGCAGTGCATACACTCATCTATCTCCTTCTCTCACTCGCACTACATGTTTCAGCATAATAATGCCATC